CAGGGGGCCTCTCTTGGAGCTCCCTCCTGTGGAGGCCTTTCCATCAATGGCGTGTGCAGGCAATTGCAGGGCTTTGCTTTTATCTCTAATTTAAGATTTACGGTAGGAGTATACAATATTGCAAAAGGTTCGGGGAAAAATTGTCTGTTGTCAAAGTTTCCTCTCTAACTCCTCTGCAGCCACTCGGTTACTATTGTTGACCGTCAACTATCATCCCTTCTCTCGACATGTTCTTCCCAAGCCCGTTTATGTTTGTTAACAATTTTAATTCTTATTTATTTTACCACATAAGGCCCACTGAGCTATGTCCCTCTTTCTTTAGACGCAACCTGACCACAAATGATCGCCCAACGAAGTGGCTTTATCACGTGGAAATGTATAGCAGCCAATTTTTCTAAACGCACGTTGATTCTGAATGTGGAGGGAAAAACCAGAGGATCTGTAGAAAAATCCACGGGGAGAGAGACATGCAAACTCCAAATATGCAGGCGTCAGGGTTGGGATCGAACCCACAACCTCCTGTGTACCAGGCGAGGTAGTTGACATCTCGCCACCGTGTGCCACTAACCTCCGTGCATTCGCTATTCCACGTGTTCCTGCGTCTGTCTCTCAGTGTTATTCCGTGCACGCATCTCTCCATGCTCCGTTTTGCACTTTTCAGTTTTTGTTCAAATTTGTGACTTTCTGGACCATAAGTCATAGCAGATAGAATTAACTGATTAAAACAAAACAAAAAACCCATCTCTTTAGGTTTGGTGGTTTGTTACTCTTTATTATCCAGTTCATCTTTCCAGAAGCACTCCAGTGTGAGGGGAAAAGCAATTGGCATGATAAGTGGTTTTCCGTGCAGTAGAGTGATATGTCATTTGGCGAGTCACTCTCAATGCTCACTTATGTTGTGACATTTAGTGCTCTATAGACTGAAATTACAATGAATAATCAGGGCTGTGTTTTATAGGGGGGAAAGTATTTAATGCCAAAAGTAGGACGCATCAGCTCGAATTTGCTATATGATTGATTATCACAGGCTTGAGGACCTGTGAGATGCACTGTTCACAGTGCATCTCGCGTCATCAAAAGCCATTGCGTGACATCTTCCTGTTGTGCGTTTCATCTTTTTATTATTTTTAAGAAGTAGAGATGAAGCGGATGCAAGTGTAATATTAGAAGGCATATTTGGAGCTTTTTAGATGAACCCTCTAGGTAATCGTCGTCAGCACCACCGTTTGCATCGTTGTCATCGTCGTCGTGATCACTGTTTAATCTGATATGTCCATGTACATTTGCGTGTCTCAAAGCAAAATGGAGTGAAAATCCCTCTGGATATTACAAAGACAGAATGACATTTCCAAGAATTAATGAGTAACATTTTGACGTCTCAATCGTCAGTCACGGACGTGGTGTCAGTGGTTCCCTCTTAGTTTCTATCACAGCAGGAAACGTATCTTGTAGTTCGAGGGTATATGCAGTGAACGGTATGAATAATAACGTCAACTTGTAACATGTGCAGTATCCGCTCACTCTGGACGAGAGAGTCCACCATCTGCAGTGCATTTGTACTGTCAGCAAGCACCTCCACGATGGAAAGTTATTTGCGGAGGGAGTTTTTTGTACACCGCATGAAATGTGTGATGGATTGTATTATTAGACCACCCGTTGAATGGGGGCGCATTGAGAAGATATCGTTTAAAGGTAACTCGTGCGTTCGCTCGGAGCGTTGGAGCGGTTGTAACTGGCGAAGGGTTTTTGCACAACGGGAATGGGGGGAGGACGGCTAGTGGTATGGTGGTGGCCACCTCCGCGTGCCTTTGCGATGAGTCCAGGGATCCGGGAACAATGCCCCGCTCTCTCACACGCGTGATTACACACGGTGATGTAAGCGCGTGCGTCACCCTGCCTACGGGGCCCGCCAAGGCCTCCAGCCCGGCCGCTTCCCCGAACATTACGCAACAGTGCAGAATTAACGGTGGCTTTGATTACTCGGGGAAAACCATTGTAAGCTTTCTTTTGGTCCATAGCCAGTGTTACAGATAAAATTCACGCAAATTTCCTAGAGTTTATCAATGTTATTGAGTAAATAAGTAAATAAATTAATGCAAGGTTTATTTGACAGCAGATCCATTGTATTACTGTTTATTTGCTAACATTAAAATGTGTTGAAAAACTTGCATATGAACACATACACTTGCAAGCTTGCACTGCTCAGGCATATTATTATGATTACCCTACAAAAGTAAATGGAATGGGTTTTGTCATCTTGAGCAATGTTACATTGCATTGCAGCATTCGTGCCAAATTATTTATAACAATGAAAGTGCCTGAAATGTGCAATAGTGAAGTCAATTTCTAGTGGTTTGTATAGTCCAATTAAAAGTGTGTTGTTGTTGTTGTTGTTTGGGAACTGGAAAGAGAGGAAGACCTAACGGAGAATTGTTTGATGTCGACATAAGAGATTGGTGCCAGAAAGATGCGGCACGACTTGAGCATATTGGCACAACACGAAGGAAAGTGGAGACAAATGAGCAAATGTGCAGGGCACACCTAGGGGCTATCTGCCCATAGATCGTGATGATGATGATGTATAGTTCAGTTGTACGCACTGTGTTACTGTGTCCAAAGCATGCCTCTCCTTATGCCGTCTAAATCATAACCTTTGGCGGTGAGCGTCAATGGAATACCGACATTTACCTCTGGAATTGACTTCTGTGTGCAACAGCGATGCACGTGTTCCTCTTTAGTTCCACAGATAATGGTTTGTGCTCATGCTTCTTTACCGTGTTTTTTGTCACACGAGGAGTTTACTCTTACTCAGACGGTTACATTTTGTACAACTGGGTGATGCGTGTGATATCGCTGCTTCACAGAAACTGTACCAGCAAAGAATGTGTTTGGGCAGAGATAAATTCATGACCGTGTTTTTGATGATGATGATCTTGCAAATTCACATCTCACTCATGATATTCTGCTGGAGATTGAACTTTCGCATAGTGTATTTCAACTTTTTTGGTCTTTTTCCCAATTAAGTTTTTGCTATTAGCTTAATGTCATAGACTAAGAATCCATTTGGAATTCTCATAGAACTGTTTGACCCTGTGGATTTGCAAAATATGTTTCTCGGGACTTGCACAGTGGGGGGGGGGGGGGGGGCACATTCTCCCACGCACTCTGCTAATATTTCCAAATTTTTCACAATTATAATTTTTGCCAATTACCGTGGGCGTCGAGGAGGAGCCGTACCCGGCTTGCCAGGAGACGGCAGTACAACAAAAATGCAGACTCCACCTGTTCCGTCTGCATGGGATAGAGCGTTGCCCCCTTGCATGCATGGGTTTTCTCTGGGAGGTTGCAGTTTCCTCCCACATGTAAACACGTTAATTTGCCAAGAACACTTTAATATAATCTTTGGTTCTTTCGGTAAATTCACGTAGGTCACATAGGTGACTTTACCGAAAGAACCAAAGAGTATGGATTCCTGCAGTCACGAAAGCTTCAAATCAAGATTGAACACTTTAATATATGGAGGACCGCAGGGTTTGGGCAATCTTTGGCACCAACTAATCACGTGTCTGCCTCCCTGCTTGTCTGTGGTTCTGCCTCGTGCCTCTGCATCGTTCTCTGTCTACGAGAGAAAGCGAATACTATGCAGCGCGTTACAAGTTGAAATTATTTGTATTATTATTTTTGTCTCTGAGCCAAAAGGCCAACTCGGTACAGCATATTTGCATGGAGTGGTTCCCATGTGATAAATGAGGAAAAGGCAGCATATGCAATATTCAGCAAGCCAAACTCATTGTTAATGATCCTGAGTGAAAAGAGACTTTATAATGTACGCAAGTTGTGGCATACCACTCCAAGCCACTGACCTCAAGAGACGCGGAACTGAGGCAAGGCAGCCAGTGACACCTTCCAGAAATGCAAAATATGCACACATTGAGTGGGTCACCTTTAATCTTAAAGATTATGAATGCATTCTATAATTAATTTAGGATGCCCAGAGCTTTTGACAGGACATCCGACCAATTATTGGCGATAATAACCCTACCTACCCCACACTCTGCTTTCACTCAGGCATACAATGATCCTGCTGAGTTTACTCAGAACTAATTTTTGTCAATTGAAAATGTGTTTACTTGCAAATCTTCAAAAGCACAGGGGTGTCTGTATTTAATGCCGTTATTATGGGGTGGATTAGATAGATAATGGACATTTTGGCGAGCTTTAGCAACCTTGATGTAAATTTGTAGTGAAGGTTCATACATGCGTACTAACACGCGAGCAGACGCCCACGCGAATGTGCCTGTGCGCACAACCCCAAGTGGGCCTCCCATGAGGCTTCAGCCACTGGTGCTCGCGCACGCACACACACAGACCCACTCACACACACGCACACACACACAGACCCACACAGAACCACACACCCACACAGACCCCATCTACATACACGCACACACGCAGCCCCCAAACAAAGATCCCCCGTATAGCCTTTACAGACTATAGAAGCAAGTGCTCATAGCGAGCACCTATGAAGGCCGGCACGACACACAAGGCAGGGGGTGGCCGGCACCATGCCCGGCCGATTTTGTCTCCCCAATGGTCATGTTTAACACACTCTTCCAGGTACTTATTTGAGGATGAGTCAACCTAGAGGAGGACCAGGACTGGTTCAGATAATCATCACTGATGTTGGCTGCGAGCGGGAATCGAACTCTGGTCGCCGGGTTCGTGGCGCAGCGTGCTAACCGCTACACTACCGCTTCCCACACCCACACAGACCGCCATGTGCATGCACACACTCTTAACCCCCATCTACACACGCACATGCAGACCCCTACTCACACACAATATTTGTGTGCACACTCACAAACACACATAAACCAACACAATTCATGCGCACACAGACACACACACAAGCACGCCTGCACGCAAAACCATCCACATTGGGCGAGCGCATCACCAGACCTCTTGCTTCTTGCCCTCCCCCCCCCAACTTCCGCGCGCAGGTGATCACGTCGAGCGGCAGCAAGTGCTTCTCTTGTCGCTCGGCCGCCGAGCAAGACAAATGGATGGAGAACCTGCGGAGGATCGTGCAACCCAACAAGGTAACCCCCCGCGCGCATCCCGGGGCTCGGAGCACCGTCCTCTGGCGGTGTCGCCATGGCCACACGCCGCGCGCTCTCGTCGCCATGGCCACACCGCCACATGGCCACACGGCGCGCGCTCTCGTCGCTGCCATTACCGCCCTCTGCCACGTCCACCCGAAGGCGATTTTATCAGCGCAGTTATTGATAACCCATTAGAAATGTGAATATACGCATCTGCCACACGTGCTGCTTCTACAACCTTGTTTGCTTGTGAATGAACGCGTCCGTCATAAACGTCTTGCTTTTAAAAGGATGTTTTGTTTGTTGTCAGTTTTCAGGCAGTTTTGTTTACGAATGCGTTGAGGTGCTTTGTTGTCTGTGTCTGCGTGGTATCGCCATATGATTTTGTTCAAATTTGCTAGAGAATTCTGTGCCAGTGTAAATAGTTTTATGTTCTTGTCATATTTGTGTGCATTGCACACAGGTGTAGTAATGCCTTGTGGTGCAGCGTGGACAACACTGGAGTACAGTTATACCTCAATATGCGTATATTCTATCAACAACTTGGGAATTGTTTTAACCTTTATTAAGCACCGAAAGCTAAAATTTTAGTAAAATAGTAAATAAATGCATTGAAATTAATAAATTATGCGTGCGCCAATCTACTTTCGTCAGTTTTCGATTTTAATACTGTGCAGCATAAAATATAATATGATTTTCAATATGAATTGTCTTTGTTTATAATATTATTAGTGGGCCCTGATCGGAGGTTAAGAGTGGGGTGTAATTGAGTGTCATTGGTGTAGGTTCGATAGTTAATTCCGTGACTATCGATGACATGACCAATTGGGAAGACGTAGACGAAAAACAGTAAAGGACCCAGGACCAATCCCTGAGGGGCACCTGCGGTGGACGTGACGACTGGCGTCGAGGACCTGCCGACCTTGACATGGAACCTTCTGTTAGTGAGATGAGATGTGAGCCGTTGTAGAGCTGTGCCGCTGATGGTGAAATCAGATTCTGGATGTGTTCAGTCCTACGGTTTAAAGTATCAGGAGGTGGCAGATGCGTTGAGGCCTACTAGAGCGACGGTGGCGCCGAAGTCCTGAGAGGCTATGGTGTCGTCGGTGATCGTGACGAGTGCAGTCTCAGTCGAGTGAGCTGGGCGGTGGGTAGACTGAAGGGGGGCAGAAATTGGTGGATGAAGTGATGCGATCTTCCCTTCTGACAAGGGCGAGGCGCTCCTGGAGTTTTGAGATCGTTGATAAGTTAGTTGATCATAGGGCGGTAGATTGCAAGGTCCTCGGGGTTGAAGCCATGTTTCTTTAGTCGAGGAGTCACTTGGCCTAATTGTAAAAAGGCTTGAGAAAAATGAGAAAATCATCATTGAGAGTTTAATAGTGCAATGTTTGAAGCCGCTGGCTGGTAGGAGATCCAGGGTAGGGTTTTTATTATTATACAGTTTTGGACTTTAGAATGAGAACCTCTTGACGTGCGACAGATGAGAGGAAGGAAAGTCCAGAGTGGAGGGGGGGGGGGCGAAAGAAGGAATAGCTGGGGGTTGATCGCAACCGGCCGAAAGAGGTTTAATAATGGTGGAGGCCATGCTGGTAATTGTCTCTTAAAATTTGAAATTTAAGAGCAAGTGAAGAGTCGGCTTGGTGACCGTGCCAAATTGTCTAGTGGTTGTGATGAGCAAGGTGAGTGCGGCCATAAATCCCAAACCATCGACCACATTGTAAACACCTACTGCTGTCTTTGCTCCCTTAAAGGAGGAATGGACAAACATTTGAGTGGACGACACATCTAAAAATACATCTTTAATCTGCTGTTATTAATCCATACGAACGAAGGAGAGGAAAGCCATTAAGTGTGGACCGGAGGTCGATGCGGGTGGTTAACTGCAGAGATGATCTGTTGGTTTATGTATTAGGCTCTTGAGGCCATGATGAGCTTGTTGATGGCTTTACAGCAGAACGTTAAGTGATGCCGTCAGTTTCAAGTCTGGATCACAAGCACATGGTTCTTCTGCGCTTTGATGCAACAGCTGATCCTGAGAGCCGCCGGTTGTCACAAGAGGGGAGCCGGCTGGTGGCACGTTTAAGGGGTTGCTGACACGTCGATGACATGTCTGAGGTCGAGGTCAAGTTGATTGGTGCAGATTGTGGCGTCAGATGATGGTGAGGCAAAGGAGGAGGTGGAGGTTAGCGGCTTCTTAAATGTGCTGTAGTTTAAGTGGACAAAGGCCTGAGAGTGATGGGTGATTTTCTGGGGTGGCTAGTTGATAGATGATGCCTGGACAACCTCGGGGGTGATGATTTTCATGAAAAGACTGTGAATGTTCTGAGTGATTTGGGTTGATATTTAATATTGGGCTCAACGATGAGGTGAAATGTTGATACCAATGGCCATGCTGTCGCGAAGGAAAAGATGTCACTAAGGCGATGGTCAAACTAGGCTTCCGAGGAGCCAGGGCAATGAAAATCACCGGCGATGATGAAGCTGGAATCGCTGCAGAGGAGAGGAGGTCTGGAAGGTCGCAAAGCTCTGTCAGAAAGATTTATGTTACCGTCTGGTGGGACCTCTGCAACTCAAGTGTTCCATATCAAAAGAGAATACTCCTGTCATTTAAGCGTGAACTTAAGTGTACAGGGGCATGTAGGATAATAATGATATGTGAAACACAGTGTGGGTTTGCAATTTTTATTTGATGGGTTTTTTTTATTTGTAAATATTGAAATTGGCAAAAAATATAAAGAAATTCATATTTTTTTTGGCAAAAATGTGTTACACTAAAGACTCCTGCAAATCCAAATTAATTGGGACTTGACTGCTTGTGGATTTGAGCATTTTAAGAGGATTAGTAATTGTATGAGAAATCCACGAATTACTCGTGTTTATTGTCCACGAATTGCTTTGGCGGCAGAGTGGCGCAGTGCAGCGGTAACACTCGCGGCTCGCAGCAAGAAGGGCTTCTCATCGATTCCCGACTCGGGCGCCTCTCTGTGTCGAGTTTGTATGTTCTCCCCCCTCTTCGCTTTCTTCCCAGAGCTAAAAATACACACACACAATGTAACTGGTATTGCTAAAAAAAAATTACCTGCAAATCACTCATTTGGGATTAAACACAGAGTAGCTACATTGCCCTACCGCCCCTTCCCCACTGCAATAACTTGGCAGGACCCTCCCGCAAAAGAGTCTTGAGACCCGGCGAGGCTTTGTGATCTCTCTTGGCTTCATCACGCGCGCTTTGGGTAACCTTGTTCTAGTCTCCACACCCCACGTAGGCCACGCAAAAGGACAACGATGCCTCACTGAGCCAAGTAGACGGTGGGGGGGAGGGGTGGAGGCTACTGTTAGTGAGCGCCCGGTAGGGCCAGCTGAGGAATGAGTAGGTGGTGTGACTTGGATGACACCCCGTTAGCGCTGTCTCCCCAAGTGCCGGTGTTTGTGACTCGGCCATGCACTCGTTTTATGCTCGGTTAAACGAGGGAGCTCCACGTCAGGCTTGGAGCGTGAGCAGAAGTTGAACCCAGGCCGTCAGGATCACAGCGCAGTGTCCTGACTACCGCGCCACTGCTCCTCCTCCCCTCCGCTACAAAAGCTTGCGCCTGCCTACGTAATTCTAGAACAGAAATTGACACATATCTGAAAAAATATGTAATATGCCTTTCTGAATGTCGTTCTTCTGTGGGAGTAGCTCACCTCAAGCCAATGCCTATTCCCATTCTGCCCCCATAGCCTCTCAATTCCCACCACCCCTCTCCTCATTATCCTCCTGCTACCTCTTCACTCCACCTCCCCTTTCACATCCTCTCCCCCCCCATGACCTTTCTCATTCTCTTCAACGTCCACAGACATTGTCCTAGTTTCTCAATTCATGAGCATCTCTTTCGGTGTAAATACTTGCCAAAACACATGAGGTGGCAAATACTGAACTCACATTCACAGCCACAGCACACACCTGTGCTGCAGTATATATGTATGGCAAATGACCAATGACCCCAATTCATGAATTCTCACACCACGGAACCTTAGCTATTTTTCCAGCGGAGTCGTGGAATGAGATTCGGCCTCTGTTAAAATAGGATCGCACAGAATGGGAAATGATGCATGTGCCCGTAGCCCCCCTTAAGAGAAAGAAAATTAACCGCGTAAATTATGCAGAGGTAATCAGTGCTGCAGGTTGCAACCCTAACGAGTAAACTCTAAATCTCATCTTAGCGGTCACTGTGTGAGTCACCGTGCATGTGCGTTGAAGGAGGCTGTGGTTTTGAAAACGGATCCTGCCACCAACCGTATAACGGCAGCCACATCGCCTGACGTTGTCGTGGGCTGGTTTGATTGAGAGCGCAATTTGGCCGCGCTGCTCCAATCCAGATGAATCATTGTAATCTGTGAGGGGCGCAACAATCTCGACTCTGCTGGATTGGCTCTAGTGTGCGGAGAGAGCGGCTCTATTGAGACTCACAGGAGGGGGGGGGACCATTGTGGCTGAGGTCAAGAAGAAGTTGGAATACAGCCGAGAATGGCATTTCTGTTCGAGAGATTAAGTGTGGAATTATTATTGACTGGATGGTAAGTTTGTTATTCATTCAGTTTTGGGTATTTCTTTTTTCCATCTGTGCTTTTTGGTGTTGGGGGGGTTGACTGAACATGATTGTATTTCAACATTTGCCCCGATAAAATATTTTCAGCGTGATAAACAGTGATGGTATTTAAATACCACGTCAGTGCTTGTGCATGCGCAGAGTAATTGTATTTTAATGACAATAGGCACAGTGCTTGTGCTTCCTTGTATTGTAATATGGAATATGTCGGTGTGCACACGGACAGAAAACTCGCGTTCGTAAATGCCTTTCGTTGCCTGTTCATCACCTGTCAAGGGAACTCAGACACTTCCACGCTCATTTACATTTGCGTCGATTTTCGTTCCCTCAAGGACAACATCCAGAGAGTGGAGAATGACCTGAAGGTGTGGATCATCGAGGCTAAGGAGCTCCCGGCCAAGAAGAAGTACTTCTGTGAGATCTGCCTGGACGACACGCTCTACGCTCGGACCGCCAGCAAGGCCAAGGTGGACAACCTCTTCTGGGGAGAACATTTCGAGTTCAGCAACCTGCCGGCGTTCAAGCACATCATGGTGCACCTGTACAAGGATACGGACAAGAAGAAAAAGAAAGAGAAGAGCAGCTACGTGGGGCTAGTCAACATCTCGGTGGAGGGCGGCACGAGCGGGCGGCAGTTCGTGGAGAAGTGGTACCCTCTGAGCACGCCCAACCCGGGCAAGGGCAAGGGCGCGGTGCCCACAGTGCGCATCAAGTGGCGGCACCAGCAGCTCAGCATCCTGCCCATGGAGCGCTACAAGGAGTTCGCCGAGTTCCTGAGCGCCAGCTGCCTGCCGCTTTGCCTGCTGCTCGAGCCGGCGCTCGGCGTCAAGAGCAAGGAGGAGCTAGCGCGGGCGCTCGTGCGCTTCCTGCACACCACCGGCAGGGTCAAGGTGAGGGGGGTTACCTGGCGACCTACAGCCGGGCGCCGTCGCTGCGAGGACGGAGCGAGTGTTTTAAAAAGGTGGCCCGTGGATTCTCTCCACCACTTGTGTGGTTATCTTCATGAGTGCCACGGTGGTGAGATGTTAACTACCTTGCCTGATATGCAGGAGGTCGTGGGTTCGATCCAGACCCTGACTGATGTATATTTTGAGTTTGCGTGTCTCTCTCCCTGTGGTTGCCTGTATTTTTCTCCGGGTCTTCTGGTTTTTCCCTCCACATTTAGAATCACCGTGTGCGTTTAGAGAATTTGGATGCTGTACATTTCCACATGATGAAGCCACTTCGTTGAGCTATCATTTTTGGCTAGGTCGCTTCTAAAAAAGCATTTTATAGCTCAGTGGGCCTTAGCTGGTAAAATAAAAAATAATAAAGTTTGACGGTCTCCAAGTGGAAGCAACCCGGCATGCATAGCATCCTTTCCACTTACAGGACAGGAATAAAACGTGCCCTTCATTGTTGTAAACAACCACTCTCCAGCTAATTTCAAATTCTGTTGTAATCCAGTGCTTCAGGCTTTGGATTTTCTTCAGAGCAGGGAGGGAGGGTATAGAGGTGGTAATATGCTTTAAGTGCTTTCCCGCTGGAAATTAATCCAAACAATGTAGATGTTTCTGCGAAGTAAACTATTTTGAGTGAACCCTTGAGTAGCTGTAATTCTGTAGCGGAGTGAGTGGAGTGCTAAGTAAATCTCGTTTTAAACGCAAAGGTTACAGGTTTGACTGTTGCCTGGGAAGTAAATTGACTCATTCCCTAGACTGATCCATGCAACCAGAGATAACTCTGCACTATCAGGGCCACAGAGCTCTTACCGTAATGCTTGAATAATCTGTTCTACATGACAGCCCGCTCTTCCTAGGAGTACCGTGCATTAAACTTATTTTAGCCTTTTGTTCGCAATATTGGTGATTTATAGGCAAACATCCAGGTACTCACTGAAGTTCTTAATGTATTTTTATACCCGTGAATTATTCAGCAGGGGTTGATGAATACAGTGTTCTAAATCAGTGCAGGAGAGCGGTGGCGCAGTGGATTCGTACACCGGGCTGTAACGAGCACGGCTAACATCAGTGGCAAGTGGTATCTGGTCCGGTCTTAGCTGCCCTCCCTTCACCAACCCGCACTTAACCAGTGCGGTGAAGTTTGGTCTAAAAACCCCCATGACCGACACACAATGGGAAGGCTCTCTCTCAGCGGTCGATTGACAGAAGAACTGTCAATGATTATAATTGTTATACAGTACACCTTACATTGCTGATGTGTATTTCATAATAATAATTACATAATTATTCTTTGTTTTTTATATAATGTAATATATGCAGACATCTCATTGCACGTCTAAAGTACGTATGTGTGTGTGTGAGTGAACTGGCGGGATGTTGGGGGTTGCGGTGGTGTTGCGTAGCCACCTTCTGCCGCTACTGGTAAGGCACATGGTGAATCAATCACTGGCTGCAACAACACCAAAACCCATTTTGCATCTGTGGGTGGTAAAATTGGTACCAGTCAAAAATGCGCCTTCCTCATGTGGATAGACTGGGCCCTGCCATGTGAATGTAGAATTTCCTCCCACTGGCTCAGGGCCACCAATGGATGTGGCCTCAGCCCACTGCTCGTTTGAAGTTTGAGACATTTTCGAATGTTGTGTGTTTTTTCTTGCACAAATGCTTGCACTATTTCCCAGCTACCCCTTTGTAAGAGTTGCACGTTTTCTATATTTGGCTCCTGCTTGGTTAAAAAAACATTTACTTAGTTGAAATAAGCGCTGCCAAAAGTAAACGTGCTGGGGATATCGCACCTAACATACTGCTAAGTGCAGACTATTTGGTTCCCAAATGTGGCTTTTAGGAATGAAATATCTAGCTTAACCATGCAGGTTGCCCCAGGCTATGGTCATGTCCCTAATGGTCCGAGTGCACAAGAGCAATAAACCAGAGCAGGATACGCGCATTTGTGGAAAGCAATCACAGGAACAGATTTTGCCGTGTGCCTCATTCTCACTCGCATTTCAAACATTAACTGCAATGAGTAAAAAATAGCTGATAGTTTGGCAGTAACTGTTCCTTTGAGAAGAAAATGCAGAGAATCCAGTGACTTTTACTGTAATTGAAAACAGGACGTTGAGATTTACACATTGCACAGATCATATTTGAAAGTCACAAATACAAGTCTAAAGGCCTCATTTCCGTTGCAACTTTGTTCGTCATTTGGTCACTCTTTGGTGTAATTAGGCGATTCTTTTTTTACAGCATCGTCTCAATTCCACGTTTCGCAAGTCACGAGGGAGCCAATTTGTAATTACTTCAATGTGTAACGTGCATAGTACTCGCTCACTATTGAAGAGTGAACGACGCGCGAGGAAACAGGCTTTGGGCCATCGCCAACAATTGCCCAAGCCCTTTTGTATCAATTATATAGTCGATGTTTTCAGCCAATTAATGAGCGCTTACATGTGAGAGTAAAGCAGAGCACCCGGAGAAAACCCACGTGTGGGACGGGGTAAATCTATTCCATAAAGACGGGACAGGTGGAGTCCACAGTATCGCCATACTGCCTTCTCTTGGCAAGACGGGGTACGTTCGGACTCCTCCTCGACACCTACACGCAGAAAGTTTCACGACATTTGTGTGACCCATCAACCATTGCCTTGATACAGTGTTGGGTTGCAGGCATGCGCCACGTCCAAAAGAGCCCATTCCGCTGCAGCCGGGGAATTGCCCAAAGTGAGCAGGGTTAGGGGCAGAGTTAGAGGAGGGTCAGCAGTTTAGGGTAGGCTTAGTTGCAGGTTCAGGATTTGCCTAGAGATAGTGGAAAGTTTCTGGCGGAAACTTTCCTCCACCGTGCAGAATCGCATCAAGGACAATTTGAGGACGTGGCTTGTGCTGGGAGCACTTCAGCATCGTCACCTTCCTCATCATCATCACTGAGTTTAAGTAGCACAGTCATCTTTTTATCGAGCACTACAAATACACAATTCAGTGGAGGGCAGAGCAGCATACACACACATTCGTCTGTGTGTGTGTGTGTGTGTGGCACAGATGGGTGGGGAGCGGTAGTTAGTGTAGCGATTAGCGTGCCGCTCTATGAACCTGGAGACCCGAGTTCGATTTCCGCTCAGGGCCAGCACCAGTGACGATTATCTGAACCAGTCCTGGGCCTCCCCTAAGACGACTCAGCGTCATATGAGTCGACTTGGGGGAGTGGTGTGTAAACACCACCACTGGGGAGGCGAAGGTGGTGTGGCGTGGTGCTGGCCACCCACCCCCTCATGTAGTACCATGCCGGCCTTCATATGTGCTCGCTAACAGCACTTGTCCCAAAAGTCTGTTAAGGCTATATAGGGGATTTTTGTTTCTGACACATATGGAGCCTGATTGGTTGGCTCGGACCACCACCCAGCGGAGCGAGCATGCTACCGCCAGATGTTGATTGGCTGCGGGGGTTTTGTGCCGAATGGGAATAGGGCCCGAATCCTGTGCACGGATTTGGCACGGTCTTTGTTGCTATGAATGTACACCTATCGCTGAAATTGCTGCAAAAGCGAAAAATCACATTGCAGAATCAGAATATTCATTTTTCATTGGAGGAATCCGATGAGCTAATGTGTTCTTTTTTACAGATGTCCAGTAGGGATGTGCAAGAAGTCGGCAGTGTGTTAGGTACACGATATCCCAGCACGTTCACTTTTTCCGGTGCTTATTTCAACTCGGGAATGTATTTTTAACCAAGCAGGAGCCATATGAAGAAACGTGCATCCCGTACAAAGGGCAGCTGGGAAATAATCTTGAGTTCGCATCCTGGTAGCATTTGTGCAACAACAAAAAACACAACATTCAAAAATGGCTCAATGCTCAAACGAAGCAGTGGGCTGAGGCTACATCCATTCGTGGCCCTGAGTCAGTGGCAGGGACCAGTCTCTCCATGGGAAGGCTAATTTCTAAAATATATCGCTTGGAAGCATTTGTGCAACAAGAACAACAACAAATCCTAGACTACAAATGCTGCAATGCATGAGGCCGTGGGAGTCTCAAATTGCGGCTACGTAGTCGGGTGCCAGCACAGCGTTGCTCGATCATAGCCACAAACCCCTTTGAGCAAAGGTGAGGCCACCGCCTCTCCCACCCCTCCCCCCGCGTTCTTTACAAGCAGAACGTGCGGAACGGGCGAGAGCTGGCGACCGGCGCTGGCTTTGTAGCGGCTCTCCCTTGTTGTTTCTGCTGCTGTTTGGTTGCGTGTTAGGAACAGGTACATCAAGCGTCCATTGCACGTAGAGGGGTGTGCGCCACACACTCCTTTGTTGAGCACTGCGGAGGCCGTATGTGAAAGCCTTAAATGCGTGTAAAAAGCGGCATTCAGAAGCCCTGTAGGGAATAGGACTGAATGTAGAACTACGTGTACACCTGTGTAAGCAAGTGACAAACATCTTTCTCTGTAAAAGGCTTGTAACAGGCACGTGAATTATTTCCACTCTACTAATACAGTTAAAATCCTTTGTTGTGCATTATCTTTTTTTTTAAATACATTCCCTGCATCATTATCATTTTTAAAGCTCATTTGCAGCTGTTCTTTTTGAGGAGAGGGTTGGTATTTTGCAACAACCGCATCTGGAAACTCTCCTCTTGTGGATTATGATTGTATTCGTGATGGCCACGGCAGATATTCTACCCCCAAATGTAATTCGTGCCTCAGTTTATATATCTCCGCTCTTACCCCATCGGGTCCTCATCATCACTGAATTGCCATATCTTACGCTCTAGCATTCCCCTAGCAGTGAGCATACATATCCACGGTATATAACATGACAGTTTCGATGCATTGCACATATATAGCTTGCAAGCGGGGTATGCAAAATGCTCGCTATAATTTGGCTCTTTCCAGTATGTGCCAATAAATCATATATTAAATCCTGTTCCCACTGTATCTGCACTGCATCTTAACATGCATTTGCATA